AGGTGAAAAGATAGCTGCAAACTTGTACATGCTGAAGGGAGAGACATTGGTAGAAGCAGAAGCCTCTGTTGCCTCATGTAGTTCAGATTCTGCAATGCTATGGCATAAGAAACTTGGACACATGTCAGAACAAGGAATGAAAGTCCTTGTGGAGCAAAAGCTACTTCCAGGCTTAACAAATGTATCACTTACTTTGTGTGAGCATTGCATAACAAGTAAGCAGCACCGGTTGAAATTCAACACATCAAATTCTAGAGGCAAAAGTGTTCTAGAATTGGTTCACTCTGACGTATGGCAAGCACCAGTAACATCCCTAGGTGGAGCAAAATACTTTGTCTCATTTATTGATGACTATTCCAGGAGATGTTGGGTGCACCCTATTAAGAAGAAGTCGGACGTGTTTTTAACTTTCAAAAACTTCAAAGCGCGGGTGGAACTTGATTCTGGAAATAAGATCAAGTGTTTCAGAACAGATAATGGAGGAGAATACACAATCAAAGAATTTGATGACTTTTGCAGGAAAGAAGGCATCAAAAGACAGTTAACAGTGGCGAACACTCCTCAACAAAATGGAGTGGTAGAGCGGATGAACAGAATCTTGTTCGAAAGAACAAGAGCAATGTTGAGGGATGCAGGCCTAGAAAAATCATTCTGGGCAGAAGCAGTCAATACCGCCTGTTATTTGGTGAATCGAGCTCCATCAACTGCAATAGAGCTGAAGACACCAATGGAGATGTGGACTGGAAAACCAGCTGATTATTCAAACCTCAATGTATTTGGAAGTATAGTGTACGTGATGTACAACTCCCAAGAAATTTCAAAGTTGGATCTAAAATCCAAGAAATGTAAATTCTTGGGGTATGCTGATGGAGTAAAGAGGTATCGCTTGTGGGATCCCATTACCTGCAAAGTGATCATCAGTAGAGATGTTATCTTTGTAGAAGATAAACTACAAAGAAAAGAAGACGATGATAGCGCTGAAAAGTCAGAGACTACTCAGATACATGTGCAAAAAGAGTTTGAACAAGGAGATTCTTCTGAAGCAGAACCAACATATGATGAACAAGAACCAGAGAGTTCTAAAGCTTCAACAACTCGTCAATCAGATCGTGTGAGAAGACGTCCCAATTGACACTCAGATTATGTTATAGAATGTAATATTGCATACTGCCTTTTAACAGAGGACGATGAGCCATCAACATACCAGGAGGTAATAAACAACTCAGATGCTTCACTGTGGATGATGGATGCAAGAAGAAATTGAATTCCTTCATAAAAATAATACATGGGACCTTGTGCCACTACCACAAAGAAGGAAGCCAATTGGTAACAAATGGGTCTTCAAAATCAAGCGAAATGGTGACGATCAAGTTGAGAGGTATCGTGCAAGACTGGTGGTCAAAGGATATGCTCAAAAAGAAGGTATTGATTTTAATGAAATATTTTCACCTGTGGTTCGACTAACAACAGTTCGAGTAGTTTTGGCAATGTGTGCTACATTGGACTTACATCTAGAGCAGCTAGATGTTAAAACAACTTTTCTTCATGGAAATCTTGAAGAAGAAATTTATATGCTCCAACCTGAAGGTTTTGAAGAAAAAGAAAATAAGAACTTGGTTTGCAGGTTGAACAAATCTCTGTACGGTCTAAAGCAAGTGTCGAGGTATTGGTATAAGAGATTTGATTCTTTCATTATGTGCCTTGGAAACAATAGAATGCAGACCTTGTGTTTATTTCAAGAGGTCTGGTGATAACGATTTTGTTATTTTGCTGTTGTATGTGGATGACATGTTGGTTGCAGGACCCAACAAAGATCATATTGAAGAATTGAAGGCACAACTGGCTAGGGAATTTGAAATGAAGGACTTGGGATCAGCAAACAAGATTCTAAGGATGCAAATTCACCGAGACAGAAGTAATAGGAAGATTTGGCTTTCACAAAAGAATTACTTGAAGAAAATCTTGTCACGATTCAACATGCAAGATTGTATGCCAATTTCTACCCCTCTTCCTATTAACTTCAAATTATCCTCCAGTATGAGTCCTAGCAGTGAAGAAGAGAGGATAGATATGTCTCGAGTACTGTATACATCACCAGTGGGAAGTTTAATGTTCGCTATGATATGCACAAGACCATACATTGCACAAGCAGTGGGAGTGGTTAGTCGGTACATGGCGAATCCAGGAAAAGAGCATTGGAATACAGTAAAGAGGATTCTGAGATACATTAAAGGGACCTCAAATGTTGGATTATATTACGGAGGATCAAACTTACTAATCAGTGGGTATGTAGATTCTGACTATGCAGGGGACTTAGATAAAAACAAATCTACTACAGGATATGTGTTTAAAGTTACTGGTGGAGCTGTAAGCTGGGTTTCAAAATTGCAGTCAGTTGTGGCTACATCCACAACAGAAGCAGAATATATAGCTGGTACACAAGCCATTAAAGAAGCAATATGGTTGAAGATGCTATTGGAGGAGCTTGGGCGCAATCAAGAGTATGTCTCTCTGTTTTGTGACAGTCAAAGCGCCTTGCATCTAGCAAGGAATCCAACATTTCATTCAAGGACAAAGCACATACGAGTTCAGTACCATTTCATTCGTGAAAAAGGTGGAAGAAGGGACAATAGATATGAAGAAGATCCATACCAAAGACAACATAGCAGATTTTATGACGAAGGCGATCAACGCTGATAAATTTACCTGGTGTCGATCCTCCTGTGGCCTGTCAGAGATGTAAGCAACATGAAAGGTACAAGGTAGAAAGAATGGTGTGAAGATATGTTTGTTCCAATCAAATCTTTAAGTAGGAGATTGTTGAAAATTAGCACACCAAATTGCATCATTAGTCAACATTATGGGTGGCAATTTGGTGGCATTAATGGGGCGGCAAATTTGGTCAAATTTGGCCACCAAATTGTTGAAAATTTTGGATGGAAAAACTATGCAATTAGTCATTGTAATTTATGGTATTTACAAATTAGTTCTTAAAGCTTCAACTATAAATACCCTAGCTCATTTAGCTTCAAAACCATCCCAAAGCATTCTAGCTTTCTTCCAATACTAGAGAGAATTTAGAGAGTTTCTTGAGAGTTGTTTTCTCCTTTTTATCAAGAGAAAATTATCATTGTTTTCTCCTTGGTAGATCGAGAGAGGTTGTAATTCCTATTTTTCTCATAGTGAAATTCTTCTACCGTTGCCCGTGGTTTTTACCCTATATTATTTAGGGGTTTTCCACGTAAATTTTGTGCATCTTTTATCTTCATTTTTATTTTCTCAAATTATTAGTTGCGATTTTACTCTATCCGGTAGTCGTTTTCCGCAACAGAAAGTGTGAAAACACATTTCAAAAATGTTTATCTGCATTCTTTTTTAGTTGAATTTTACTTTGGTGTGTTTAAGTACGATTAAATCGCTTGGAATATGAGTCCGTTCTTTGTTTAAGTGATCATTTTTGATTGAATACAAATTTAATTACTTTTAAACAACTTGGTAAATTACTTGAATAAGAAGAAACTTGGTAAGCATGTTTAGAAGGGTCACTTGTTTGTTAAGAAACAAGCCATAATTGGTGTATGTCGTTAAAACATGTTGATCGATTAGTTTTAGAAAATTCAAATTACCTTATTTTTGTTAAGTACAAGAATGTGTTGATATTAGAGATGGTATTAGAGATGAAAAAACCGGACTTGGTCTATGAATAGTTAAACTAATTAAACAATCTTCATTGTAATGAAGGGAAGTGTTTTGATGATATTAGAGAAGATAAGACCGGACTATGAAGATAAAACGAGATAAGATGAACGTAATTTGAAGAGATCAATAGGCTAGATTTTGATTTCTTCAAGTAGGAAAATGAACGTTACATGTGAATTGTAATTGGATCAGATTCATATGCTCTTGCTTCTGCCTTCCTAGTAGGGTGTGCAAAACTACCCGACCTACCGACCCTGACCTAAAAAACGAGTAATTTTTAAAAAAAATTTACCCGGCCTAGTCAGGTACCCGACTTGACATTTCCCGGGTTGGGCCTGAGTCACAAAATTGAAGTTTTTCGGGTACCCGGTTACCCGTGTACCCGGTTAGTATATAATATAATGAATTATTTATATTATGGATTATTAGATTTTGTATTTCGAACTTTTAAATTTTATGTTCGGATGTTGGAGTATGTGATTCGAAGTTTCGAACATTTAAATTTGTGTATATATATTTTTTAAATTAATAATTTGAAAATGAAAAAAATCGGGTACCAGCAACATCCGGGTTGGGACACGGACCGAGAAATCACCAACCCAGATGTTACAGGTACCTGAAAACCCGAGTACCCGGATTTGCAAACCCTTACTTCCTAGTGAGTCCACACATATTCTATTCACTATCACATTATTTCGGTTAAAAAATATAATCGAATCGAGTTTAAAAAAAATCAAACTTTAACTTATTTCATAGATTCATTTATACTTAAAAATGAAAGAAATTATTTTGTTATATACCTAATGATTAGTCTAAAGTTGGAGACCTAAAATAAGTGGCCGAACACAATAGGGTTGGAAAGTGACAGCAAAGGTGGGGGGGGTTTATTTTAATGAGACCGAATTTGTTGTTGATTGATGTGTGTTTGGCCATGTGCTTAGACATGTGGGTTGTTTGATTTTTACGAAAATAACAACCTGGGAAATTGGAGGGGGTTCCATATGGTATGGACCAGACTTCACCACGTTTTTTTAGCTTAAAAATTATTCTTTCAACCTTCACAGAAAGTAGTACTTCATGTTATTTATTCAAATTATTTATTTCTGCTCTTAATACTGAAGTGAATATGGATATAATCGAGCTGAGTGGCATAATATTTGTAAACAATGATAAAACTATAAAGATATAGCTTCCTTTCCACAATGATAAGAACTTTATTCAAAATGCAAAATAAACAAAAGACTTGCAACAATCCATCTTAAGCATATTTTAAACAATCAGATCAAATTTTCTTTATTTTCCCTTGGATCAACACCAACCAACTTCATTGAAATCTTCATGACAGCTAAGGATAAATTCTGGAGATGTGATACGCAAGAAAATTGCCCACGGTTGAGTAGCGGCAGGTGGTGATGCACTTCCGAACGAAAGAAAACCAAGTTCTTCGCCAATGTGGATTTATGTAAAGTACGACAAAAACTGTCAACAACATCACTGCATAGGAAACTCCAAAGCTCGCACAAAAAACATATGTGTCTACCCAACTATCTTCTCCTTCATCATCATCTGATGTACTTGAAACTGTTGATGGTGCATCGGTTTTGGAGCAACTTTTATGCAGTAAAGGTCCACAGAGAAAAGGGTTCCCCTCATAACTTTTTTCAATGAAGGTACCAAATTGAGCTTTTGATTCTGGAATATTGCCTGACAAGTTGTATGCAACGTTGAAAACCTCCAAATTGTTCAACTCCACCAACTGGTTTGGGATTTCACCACTCAACTTGTAGGAAAGGTCCAAACTCTCAATCTGCTTAATTTTTGAAAATGAAACTCCAATCAGGTCATTGTGTGACAAGTTTGAAGAATGGATTTCACTCAAGTTTCCTAATTCGTGTGGGATGTGACCAGTTAACTTGTTGCAAGATAAATCAATCCCAGACATGTACTTAAGGATGTTGCCCTCATACGAGTAGAACCCACTCTTTGTTTGGAAATCTATCCGTTCTTCAGTATAGCTGTAAGGAAATAAATATTTTGTTTCTGTTGAAAAAGTGTCTCCTGCCGGTGGTATAAATACACGCATGATCTTGTTCTCTTCCCATGGAAGAGTTAAATTTCCCAAACAAGAAGGTATAGAACCGGAAAACATATTTTGAGAGAGATCTATAATGCTCAAGGAATCGAACTTGCATAATTGAACCGGAATTTCACCTTGTAAATGATTAGCTCTTAAGAGAAGCACACTCAAAAAAGGAAGAGTGTCAATCCAATTCGGAATCGTACCGGTTAAATTGTTTCCTCCAAGATCTAATGTCACAAGTGAAGAGCTATTATAAAAAGCAAGTGACAATGGACCACTCAATCTATTCCCATGAAGGTGGAAATGCTTTATGTTTGGGGGATCGAAGCAGGACGGTATAGAGCCGGATAAATTGTTTCGAAAAATATCCAAAATTTCAAGTGTTCAAGCTGCAAAACTCCATTGGAATAGAACCCTCGAAACTGTTGTTAGACAAAGCCAATGTCTCCAAATATAACAAGTTCCCCATCTATCTTGGGAGCTCTCCATAAAACTTGTTATTACTTGGATAATTTCATTTAGTGAAGCTGGACACTGAGAAGTAGAGACATCAACATTAGCCATCTCTCCAGAAAAATTATTTCCATCCAAATATAATTTCCAGAATCCAGTTGCTTTGAGAATTGCAGGAAGTACATTTCCACTAATTAAGGTTGTTATTTGATAGTCTCAAGATGTACGAGAGCTTTTCATGATCAACTCTTCCGGTACTTATCCAGACAATTGATTGTTTGATAGATGTAAAAGTAATAATTCCTTCGCGCCACTTAAACAAGGAGGGATGTTACCTTCAAAGGCATTCTTAGATAAGATTAACTTGCTCAAATGTGGAAACAACGAACATATGTTGGATGTAATCTGACCTTGTAATTTCTTATCAGATATGTCAAATGAAGATAAGTCAAAATTAGGAACCGACAATAATGTGAGATGACCTTTAAAAGAATTACCTTTCAAGAAGAGCTTCTCTAACTTTGTGTTGTTTTCTAACAACCAAACTAGGAATGTTCCACTGAAATTGTTTCCAGAAAGATCCACATTTCTCAAGTCATACTGGTAGTGAAGGAAGGTGGGAAGCTTAAGACCGTATCCTTGAGATGTTATGCAGTTTGACAAACTGATGTGTTTCAGCTGGAACTTTGGGACGAGGGTGTTGAAGGATGGTTCCTTTACCATCTTGCTTCCATCAACTTGGAGGAACTTGAGGTTTGGAAAGTTTGTAAATGGAACCAGTGACGTTGGAATTTGAAAATGATTTCTTGAAAGAGAGTTAGATTTCCATTTAGTCGAAGGATATATCTAACTTACGAAGAGATGACAAGTTACTCAAACAAAGAGGAAGCATCCCTTCAAGTGCATTCCAACTCACATCCAAAAATTCAAGGTTCTTTAGATCACACCATCCTGACAATATTATAAATTCATATTAAAATTAGTTTGAAAAATTATAAAAGAAAGTTTCATGAAAAATTATTGAAGAGATGCATTTTAGAAATTTTATTTGAAAAATTGTGAGGTCTAAATTTGAGCCATAACTTTACCTTGATTACGTAAGGAACCTGTAACATCCCAAACTATGAGTTAGTGATTAAATTGTAAAATTTCAGAATTTGGTGATTAAAGTGGAAAAGTTGAAAGGTTCAATGATTTATTTGAAAGAATTTCCTGAAAGTTTTTAGTAAATATTAAAGGAGTCAAAGGGCAAATGAGTCATTGAACAAGGAAAATAATTAAAAAATAATTAATGGGTATTATAATACCCATGTGGAGCCCGATTGAAGAGATAAGTTTTCAGGCAATTCTCTTCTTCATCTTCTTCTCTTCTCCACGTGAAAGCTCAAGCAAAAGGTAAGAGTTTCTTGTTTGTTGATTAATTGTTGATTTTATAGTTGAGTTTTGATCATTAGATGATAACTAAGCTTAAGGAAAACTTAAGTTATCTTAAAATCAAAAGATAAAGGAGTTAGAGAAGATTAAAGATTTGGAGTTCTTGAGTGAAATCTTGAAATAGAGTTGATAAGTTGAATTTGAAGTTAAATTAGACTTGTCATCAACTTAATTAAGAGATATGAAGTGATAGAATTGAAATTAGAACATGTTGAAAATTTGGTATGATTCTTAATTTTAAGAATCATAATGAGATATGGAAGATAAAGATGATTTATATGGATATAAGTTGGTTTAAGTAATGGTAGTTGAGTTTAATGGTATGATAGGGGTTTAAAATAGAAGAATTGAGTAAAGAGTTGATAATTTTTGGGTTTAAACAGTAAAATTATGGATTTTACAGATTGTGCAGAGGGAACAGATACTCCTGGGGGGTATCGATTCCCCTTTAGGGTGTGTTTGGTTGGGGGAATGTGAGATTCCCATGGGAATAGAATCCACATTCCCACGTTTGGTTGGTCGGGAATGTCATTCTCGGTAATCTTACATTACTAATAGTGGGTTTTTTTAGGTATATTACCGAAAATGTCATTATCTCTCTTTCTTTAGGTATTGTTGGATTACTTGTATTTTGGACTAAAATGCCCTTAATTTTTTTTCTTTAAAAAATATACCTATTCTGTCATTAAATAATAAAAATTTTACGAATGTTAAATTACAAATTTATCCTTAAACTATTTTAGATTTACAAAAAAAGTATATAATTAAAATTTTATATAAAGTTAAGGGGTTAAAATAAAATTTTACCATTTCATTAAACATTTTTATATTTTCAATTTTGTAAAAACAATTATATAAATTTTATGAATTTAATTTTTTTAAAGAAAATATATAAATATTTTTCAACTTGTTAAAAAAACAAATATTTAATAAGGACAATTTGGTCAAATATACATTTCAATAATCTTTTATTCCTTTAACCAAACACTGTAATATAACATTCTTGTTAAACCAACCAAACACAAAATACAACATTCCCAGTAATCTTATTTCATGGTAATCTTTTATTCCCACTGGTAATCTTACATTCCGTGAACCAAACGCACCCTTAAAGGAAAAATGGAATTTTGGTTCATTAAACTAGCTTAAGTTATTAACATCAAGTTTAAGGTTTAGGCTTATGATAATTGTTTTGAAAATTATATTTATGTAGATACAGAGCCTAAACGAGTTTCGAAACAATCAAAGAATTAGGTTCAAAGAATTAGGTTCGAATCAAAGCAAGGATAAGACGAGTGCAATTTAATTTGTACTTATAGAACGAACATTGGCTTGCAATGAGCCAATGACAGAGTTACTATGGTAAGAAGTAACTTCTAAAATGTTATGTGATTATTATGTGTGCATTAGTACATAGAAATTGATGTATGTTATTATATGTGGTATTGATATAAGTGATTATATGATCACAAACTATGTAAAATAGCAAGGACTTATGTGATAACAAGATAAAATGATATAACCTAAGTGGTATAGATATAAATGATAGGTTAAATGACATGAACATATGTGAAAATATGAGAAATGATATGAACTATATATATATTATATGTTATAAGTAATTTCATAAGAAATTATAAGAATACATGTATAAGTGACTGTAGGAACATGTAATATAAGATATGTGAATTTAATATAGGAAAATACATGCTTATGTGATAAGTTTATATGTTATTCTATGTGCTATGTGATGTATTGGAAACATATGAGAACAAGAGATGACATGATTTGTATGATATATGAATTCATGAGTAAAGACATATGTGAATATAATTTGTATGCATTATATGCCATGTAAACATAAGAGGATAGAACATGTTATATGATATGAGATTAAGTGATGAAACATAGATGATATATATATATATATATATATATATATGATGATATAAGAATAAGACATGAATCAAATGATATATATGTTTATGTGAATCCATGCAAAGTGATACGAGCTATGTAACATATGAATATGAATTCATATGAAAAGTGACATGAATTACATGAAAGTAAACTACGTGATTATATGAACATGTGATATGTGATCATAAGAGCAATGATATGAGTACATGAATATATGAAGCAAAAGAATAATGCCCATGGTATATAATACGAGAGCTACAGGTATAGTTGGCATGCCAAGAGTCGAGGGTTATAGTGGTCCTTCGGGACAATACAGTGGTCCTTCGGGACAATACAGTGGTCCTTCGGGACAAATTTCATATGCCACTCAGTGGGACTTATACGAGCTGTGGTGACAGTATTAGTGCACAACCTCAATATACTAACATACATTCAATTCTCAACAGTGTACATGGGCCTATTAAAGATATCAAAAGTATTTGCATTATTATATGATATCGTGCTATTATTGTTTACACTGAATTCTTTGTGTACATGAGCTAATAAAGAGGTCATAATCACTACAATATATGTTATGCATATGCTTTTGGAGATATGAAATGTTTATGGTTATATTATATATTTTATATGCCTCACTAAGTCAACGACTTAGCGTGTGATTGTTTCATGCGTATGTTCCGAGAAGAGGAAGAATGATAAAAGTTAAGCAAGACAGGTCAGTTTCTGTAACATCCTGAAATTCAGGGTCAGTGACTAAATTGCAAATTTTGAAAACTATGCGCTTGATTTCGAAATAAGTTAAAAGTTCATGGATTTAGTAGTAAAGCTGGAAAGTAATAAGGGTATTATGGTCTTTTCTAAGAGAAGATTTTATTTTCTCTTTTTAAGGAAACCACGTGGGAAAGGAGAGAATTATCCAGAGTCTTCTTCTCCAACTTCTTCTTCTCCCCGTAAGCCTCATTTAAAGGTGAGTTTAATTTCAGCTATTTAATTCTTGGATTTATAAGTTGATTTTGATTCTTGGAGTATTATATAAGCTTAAGGAAAGCTTATATAAGCTTTAGGAAAGCTTATATAAGCTTTAAACATCAAGAATAGAGAATTAGAAAGGAAATGATATGAAGGGTGTAGAAATGAAATTTTGTTATAGAAAGGTTTTTGAAGTTCTAAAGATGGATTTGACTTGTCAAGGGTTTAATTAAGAAGCTAGAAGCAATAGAATTGAATTTGGAACATGTTGAAAATTTAGTGTAATTCTTGAATTTCATATGGAGAATAGGATTTTGATGTTAAAGAGGTGATTAATGAATAGGAATGAGTTTGAATATGAGTATGTAAGTTAAAAATAAGAAAGGGGATGATATATGAAGTATTAAGATGAAAAGAGTGGATTTTCGGGCATAAAAGAGGATTCTGGGCAGAGTGCATCGATGCACATTCATAGTGCATCGATGCATCAAGGTTAAAACCCATAAATTATTTGAAGGTGTATCGATGCATTGGTAATGCATCGATGCACTCTTTTAAAAATAGAAACATCGAATGCAATTAGTGCATCGATGCATAAGGCATGCATCGATGCATCCCAGTAATAATACAACATCGAATGCATTTTATGCACCGATGCATCAGTAGTGCATCGATGCATACCTTCATTAAAAGATGAAATTGGCTTTTCTCTGAGCCT